CTGGACACAGTACGCCAATGTGGCCTCACTAAGGCAGAGTAGAGGGGGAGGATAACCTCCCTCGACCTGCTGGCCACAGGGAAAGTGGCTGGCTCGTGGTTAACCTGCTGCCCACCAGCACTCCCAGGTCCTTCTCTGCAGAGCTGCTCCCCGGCAGGGCACCCCCAGCCTGTGCCGGGGCCTGGGGTTATTCCTCCCCAGGGGCAGGACCCTACCCTTGCCCTTGTTGACCCTCATGAGTTAGTTTCCCCTCTGTCCACCTCTCCAGCCTGTCCAGGTCTCACTGAACAGCAGCACAGCCTGTCAGCCACCCCTCCCAGTTTGGAATCACCAGCAGACTTGGTCCCTTCGTCCAGGCCACTGATGTTCAACAGGACCAGGCCCAGTACTGCCCCCCGAGGAACTCCGCTAGCCATATGCTCCCAGCTAGACCGCACTGCTGATCACAACCCTCTGAGCTCTGCCACTTGGCCAGTTCTCAATCCACCTCACTGTCAGCTCATCCAACCCACGCTTCCCAAGCTTCCCCATGAGGATGTTATGGGAGACGGTGTCAAAAGCCTTGCTGAAGTCGAGGTAGACAACATCCACTGCTCTCCCCTCACCCACCCAGCTAGTCATGCCATTGTAGAAGGTTAATCAGAGGTGTGTACTCAGCTGCTACAACAAGTTTTAGCAGCTGTATGAACCCACCCTCCTTTAGTATTTCATGAAAGTGATTAATCGAACGTGCCCGCACACCCACAACCCCTGCCGGGAACAAAACTCCGGGCTCCCTTACTTTTGTTGGACGAGGCAGGTGGCTGGTCTGCGCTGTTGCTCTCGAGGCTCACTGAGGCTGAGCAGTGAGGCGCGTGCCCGGATCCCGACGGCTCACTCTCCTCCATAGGGTTTTGGGTAGGGCTCTCCCTTAAGCTGATTCCCGTTGTGCTACACTCAGGAGGACACGGCTGGGGCTTCTGATGGATACCCGTGATGACCTCAAACTCTAACAATGTCATGGAGATGGGTGAGTCAGGCTGGGCCTTTGCTTCAGTGCCGGAGACAGGAACAGGTCTCACAAGCTCTTTCGGTGTTGCTGACCCAGAGGAATTCCATGTGTCAGAAGCTTCGGTTGCAGATCCTGAGGGATTAAGAGAACCCAAGCTCAAGAAGCTGTTGTCCAGGCTCTCCTGATTGCTGATGGCAAGGGTTTGAATGCAGGCGAGAGCTGGGGGTGGCTTCCCGGTGGGGTCAAAGCCAGGCGTTTGGGTGGCTGTCAGCTTGTTAAATGCCCCCTCCTGCATGGGATGCATCTGCAGTTCTGCCTCAGCGACGCCTTTAACTGGGGATGCCGACGGAACGTTCTGGTTGACTCTGTCTCCTTGGTCGTTTCCATCGGACGCACACCTTCCTTCATCCAAGACGCTTTGCGGCTCTTTGTGGCTCTCTAGGTTCACCTTACGCCTGTTGGTTTTGATTCTGCCGCTGGGCACGGGCGAGCACTGCTCTGCTGCACGGTACGATCTCACGGATTTGCTGGAGTTTTTATTTTTTCCAGGGGACGGTTCATTACGGATCACGTAGACCGTGTTGTCTTTCCGCTGAGCGAGCCCTGGAGATCCGCCGTACGACCCCGTGCGGACAGCATCTCCCTCAGCCCGCTCAAAGGACGGGGTCTTCCTGAGCCTCTTCTCGGAATCAGCCTCCCTCAGCAAAGCCTCCGCAGATGCTGATGACTTTCTCTTTTCTCTAGCTTTATTCTTTTCCCCACTCCGGACGCATAACCTTCCACACTGCCAGTGATAGGCGTGCCCAACGCTGCAGATCCAAAGAACGGAGTTTTCCTTGCCAGGGTGACCCACGCTCTGCCCAGTTTCCAGGGCTGGGATGTGACTGCAGATGGTGCCGTGAGTGTGTGCCCAGGTCACGAGGTTGGAGAGATCCCGGTGAAGCGAACCAGTGTCGATGCGGTTCCCGTCCACGACGCCCTTGTTCTGTAAAAAGGTGTTGGAGGTAACCAAAGTGAAAGAGGATGTGCATGAAACAGCAGTTCTGGGGAGTGTCTCAACCCCACCTCATAGAGCAACAGTTGTAGATCGGGAATTCCTCTAAGGATTCCCGTTAAAAACCAGTTTGTGCCTTCTCTAAAATTAATAACTAAATGTGGCCACGTTAAGGCCTGGAGGTCAGCCTGTGGGCACGGTGCCGGAATGGTGAGCCTGTTCTAGGGCTAATCCAAGTACCAACAGGCTCTCAGTCCTGGTCGAGTAGCTCAGCTTAAGACCTTATCATCCCACAGCTGAGCCACAGGAGCTGCTCCCGTGTGCTTGAAATCCAGAGCACGATCGGGGCAAACGTCCCACCGACCCACCCCAGCAGCGGCCTCAGCTGACGGAAGGGCACCCCACGCAGGGCTCTGTTCCCAAGGCTGAGCCCTGTGACCCGAGCAAGCTCGTACCCACGGACAATTCCGTGAAAGGGAAAGTGTCAGGAGTCAGCTCCTCAGCCTCCCTTCCCAGCCAACAGGGCTTTCACTTCTCTCCTCTGCCGACATGGCAAAGGGAAATCGGGTACAGAAAGAAGCTGTTCGTGAGATGCTTTTCAGAAACAGAAACGTGAACCTGGCACCCACATATCTAAAATTTGCTGTTAAAAAACCTAAAAGGGTTCATGCTGTAATTGATTCTGTTAGAAACAATGGTCTATGGTATCACAGATGCGATAAAATACTCACCATGCTGCCGTTCTCTATCTCCCAGGGGATCAATAAGTGGCTGAATATTCTTTCTTTCTCTCTCAGAACCTAAAATAATCACCACACGTGTGCATCTATCAGAAAGCATGCGGCCAGCAGAAGCTCAGCTGCATGTACGTGGTTTGGGTGAGCTCCCGCTGAGCTCCACGGACCCACGCAGAAAGCTTGACTCGCGTCGGTACCTGCAGGATGAGATCTACAGCGTACCTGTCAGCGCTGCACAAAAACAGAGACACGGGAACCAGAATTTTAGACCTCGGACTCCGGAGGTGTTCTGTTGGGCACCGGTGCGTCGAACACGGGCAGTGCTCAGCAACCTTTACCTCTCCCAAGAGAGCGAAACTGCAGAAACAGAAGTACCAAGATTTAAGCTGTTCGGGTTCTGCCATCGTCTGACCTTCAAAACAGTAACGCAGAGGTGGTTTCCTAACCCCCCCATTACTCGCCTATGTTACTTATGTTTACTAGAGGCTAAATCCGAGCTTCTCCCATCCGCTCGGAAGCTGTGCAGCAGCCTGGAACGTCACCATCGTTTCTGTGTGGCAGATCGGAGCAGAACCATCAGCCACACGACTTACCATCGATGTACATGTCGCGAGAGAGCGAGGAATCATGGAATCACAGAATGGT